TTATTATTGTTGTGTTCTCTATGTACAGTTACCCCCATAAATAACAAATTACTTTAATAATTCATTCGCAAATAGTAATTGAATTTTTTATCAAATTAAACAATCATTTAATTAAAACACACAAAAATGTATCTCATTTCTTCAAAGTTTTGGGCTGTAATTTGAAGAATTGTATTTCAATTATACTCGTGGTTAAAATAATTAATAATTTAATTATTTAAAATGTTTAAATTACATAATTGGATTACAATGTAATTAAATTATGTAAATGAAATACAATGCAATCCAGTTCCTTGATTGAAAATACAATGTAANTTAAAATAATTAGTAATTGCATTATTTAAAAGGTTTAAATTACATAATTGGATTACAATGTAATTAAATTATGTAAATGAAATACAATGCAATCCAGTTCCTTGATTGAAAATACAATGTAATTAAGTCGGATAATTGAGTTAGCACAACCCTGCTGATATAGTCCGTCAGGTGCTCTATGAAAATTTTGTACTATCGGTGAGAGTTCTTATTGTGTTGCGTGTATGCGGTACCTACTACAGTAACACTACCGTAGCAGTATCATACTTATACAAATAGAATTTAAAAATGTAACGTATCAGTGAGCTGAAGACCGAAGGAAACATTAGCACCTCTCGCGGAACTTATGGAAGTAAACTTTTAGCGTCACAGAAATTTTGTGACTGGGTAACAGTAGTCGGTCCGCCTTTCCTTCTTATACCATGGTTGGGAGCACCATGTATAGAGTTCGATGATGCTTACGCATGAAAAGGGGAATGCAAGTTAACATATATACAAGATTACGGTAAATTCTTATTGGCCCGGGATTGTAGAATAGAAATTAAAGCAAGATATTACTTATTTAAATTGTAATGTAATAGAGAGGATCGTAACACTAATTTCAGAGAAATTGAATGCAGAAATGTATGTACATATTGTATATACAACAAGTCACTACATATGGGTCTAAAAATCCACGTAAGAAGTAGATTTTATGAAAAGACGTGGAACGTAGTGGTTGTCATTATATCAAAGATATTTTATACAAGGTAAATAAGCGACGTAGCATGAATAGATCCTACCCAGCTTCGTTACAAGTAGAGAAGAATTCTGTTACAAATTCCGGAACAAAAGATATCAACGATTTCCTTTATTTTGTGATGTAGTTACACAATATTACCATAAATTCAAATGCGCACAGAACCTTTTATGATTATCTAGGTAATGATCTGTTGATAAAAATCGCATGAATGGGAACCAGCGTATGAAACAAACGAGAAATAATAAGATTTTATTGTACAAAACAAGAGAGATGAAAGTTATTAATTTTCAAGATATTAATAATTATATTACTCATATAATTAGTATTTATTAGTGATATAACTAGAATTTATTACTAATATAATTAGCATTTGTTACTAATATAATTAGTATTTATTACTAATTATTATTATTAAAACAATTTATTCCTTTCAATTTTCTCCTACATATTTTCCTTCAATCTTCTCTCTTATTTTTCTTTCTATTCTGTTTTCATATCGTCCTTAATTTTTTCCTAATTTTCCCTTTGAAACCTGTTTGAAAAATGAAGCAGAAAAAGTGTTGCAACTGACCAATGTGACAATCATCCTCGATTATTCTTTCGATCTCAAATTATCAATTTTAATAAACAAGACACTTAAAAGTGAAAAATAGCAGTCAGTATTACCTTAACCCTGAAATTATGTACGTATATTTTATCTTCTAAGGTAATATACTCCACGACGAAAAGATGGGACATTCCGTCAATTTAATATTTGTATCACTTGGACATAGAAAATAGTCTAAGCCTTGATGTTTGCAGATTTAGATTGTATAATTGCTGCAATGTTAAATGTTACGCATCATAGTAAGAAAATTCTAGATGACCTTTATACCTCGATAAAAAAGTAGACTATCATAAAACTAATCATTAAATTGGTTTGACTTTTGCTTGGTACCAAACAATTTTCGTTTATAAATTTGTGTGATTCAACAAGTAGTTCATGAGTCAATTTAGGTGGCAAAGTTGACTCACCCTGTATACTAGAAGTGTATGTTTCAAGGTACATACTCGGTACGTTACATTCATTCTTTTTCTTTTTCTTAAAAGTTCACACGAAAACATCGTTGCATGATATTAACGTTATTCGTTTGTCGAAATCCAACTGTCAAATCAATATTTATCACTAGACTGTGGATTTTATGTATTTATGATAAGAATTTAAGAATATTGTTACATTATTTTCAATTTATTAAAAGTTGTATAAAACTTCACCGAGACAATTATTATTTTGCATAAATATCTATTGTCTTTTATAAAAATATCGAAATAATATGTATATTCTCCGACCATTATTTCTGCGCAGTGTTAAACGAGACTACAGTTAAATAGAAATTTCGTGCCAAATGCTTTGTGCATGGTGAGACACAAAAGGAACAATTTATTAGGAATTTTTGCACATAATTCGTACTATTAATTCAAACTGTGAACTAATGGAACGAGTGCACGAATGCCAGTCGATAAACCGTCCAGATGTCATCAATAGAGAAAGAATCATCTTTTATCAGAAGAACGTAATTATGAATCGAACGTAAAAAAATTTTATTCATATGTTCAAATAGTTTGAAGTTTCTGATTTAGGTATGCTCAACAAGTAAATACCTGTTACGTTTGCATTCAGCTCGCGGAAGTTTAAGTTAACATTCGCCGATAAGACAATAGTGATGCGTGCAATTAATATTAATATTTGCCATTACTATATTCGCTGTGCATAATGTATATTAACACTTTTAGCGTATGTGCACGTATGCATGCATCAAAATTTTGTTGTCCTAAAGACATTCGTCCATTTAATAAGTTATGAACTTGTTTTATTGTTTTCATATGTAGAATCTATTCCTAAAGTGGGTCCCACATGCTACGGGACACCCTATATAATTATATTTAGAGAAGAGAAGCAGACTATAGCTTTTGAAGAGTAGGAAAGATAAAATGCAATTCGAAAAGTTGTTTGCTACTTTTAAATTTCTTCATTGTTTAAATACATTCGGTATTAACCACGTAGTAATGGTATGTGAAGTAAGTTTATAAATCGTTTTATATAACAGTTGTACCATAAACAGTATCGCCATATAAATTTCACTAAAAAATGTTCAAAAATAGTTACTTATCCCTAGCTATGTTCGAACGTAATTAACGATGTTTGAATGCATTTTTTCAATTTAACTGTTTTAAAGTAAATAACAAAACCATATGCTCTTCAAACTTTTTAAGATTAATTTAGTACAGAGACGAAATAACTTGTAATATGCAGCTTCTTAATTAATACAATATTCTCTACTATTTCTGCTTAAATTTCAGCATTTTGGAAAAAACTTTTCTTGTCGTATTACATTCTTGTTCTTCATCTATATTATCGACAGATATTCTTAATTTTTCATTGAACTGTTGCTGAACTGGCACTTTTCTTTTCTTTCGAATTATTTTTCCATAAGATATATTAGTGATCTATGTTTTGAAGAGTGGGTTATTTAAAGTGCATAATAAACGTTCAAAATATTTTATGCAAGCATGCAGCGTGAAATCTCGAAGGAATAATTATTATCAGTGCATGATTTACTTCCTTACAATCACAGATTTAGTACATAGTAATGTAACTATTAATTTAAAAATTAAATAAAGCAGAATTAACTTCTCGAATGATATTTGTGAAATAGATTATTTTTTGGTCATTCTGAAAGCCCACTTAAGGGTCCAAACAATACTAATAATGAAAATAAGATTACAACAATGCATTCTAAAATGATGAAATGTCTCGAAAAACTGAGAATAGCTAATATAACATGAAAATTCGGACACTAAATTCTATTAGAACTTAAGATTTTATTTTCACAATGCAAATGAAAATTCAGTTCTAGGGAACCACTTAATTGTGGAGTGTTTGACACGTATGTAAAGTATGAAAAAATATTCGACATGCGTTTTTTATAACCGTTTTTACAAAGTGGGGATCAGAAAAACATTATATTGAATATTCTAGAAATTAATAGAGACAGAAAACAATTGTATCATTGAGGCAGTACCATTTATGGTTATGATTTTGACAATATTTTTTCAGAAATCGTCGAGATCGGAGAATGACACCTTTTTTTAAATAATCATCCTAATTATAGATTCAGTTCATCAGAGCATACCTTCACTGTAACCATTGCTTATTATATTTGTCCGACGAACACTATATCATTGCATCCTCTGTAACCATAATCCAACAATAAACCTATTTGCTAATCAAGTTTTACCATGTTACTCACCCATAGTATCAAAGCACTAAAACTTTAACCATCGTAATCTTTGTTAGTCATCAATTTCTATCTTTACTTATCTTAAACCGTAAATTATAGAAAGGTGGTGATATGACTCACATTTTTCTCGTTGTGAAAAATAAAGAATATTATTATTTACCAACGAAATTTATAGTTAAGTTAATTTATGGCCAAGTTAATCCATGGGTCTTTTAATTTATAGATAAATTAATTTATAGTTAAGTAAATTTATTTAAGTTCAATTTAATTTAAGTTAATTTATAGCTATGTTTTACAGTGAACTTATAGCCTATTCCTCTTGTCTTTCCAACATTTTGTCTTTCTTACATTTCCAAACTTAAGTCAAACCTTTCAAAAATGTGACTTACACCACTATGACTTTAACCTCCTCATATGTAAGTTTTAACACTAAATCTAGGCAAATCTTTGCAACGATTTTTCCTGAACGTTCGTTTCCTGGCAACTTATAATCCCTCATCTAAACAATAGTTTGGGCATCGATGTTTGGTTAACAAAAGTGTAGTGACATTCGAGAAACACCAATTGATGAATTTGGATCCATTGTGGCCTCGCATCTAAATTGTCGTATGGATAAATGGTTTTTCAACAGATGGCAGAAAGTGAAAAGTTGTGTGGTTGCATGAGAGACTCGTTGAGCGAATAAAAAATCACACGGAAGAACAGAAATAGAAGACACAGCTAAAAGTATAGAAACAGAGTTCAGAATATAGAGTATGGAAACAGAATTTTCTGTGTGCAGAGTGCTGAGATAATTATGGTCTATATGTATAATTCTTAGAATGATTACATTTTAAATTAATCTATTACTCTATTCATTATGATTTCATTGCGAACCCTCGGGCAAATTGAACAAAACTCGAATACTACTATTTTTTTCGTACGGTTAAACATTTTCAACTTTACAATCCTACATGTCGAGAATAAAGTAACGAAAAACATGTAGAAATATCAGTTAGCTCTATTATAAACCCAATAATTATAAATTCAAATTAGAAAAATCGAGATTATCTATCACTGCTATTCACGAAATCAAAGATTAAATTATTTAATTTCGTTGAAATTATATTTTATAATCCTAGTCTACTCTATAGTTTGTTGACACGCTGCACAAAAATGCAAGAATACTTCAATATTGTTCAGGCAATAGAATTGTAGGGGAAATAAATTCGATATATACAACAGACACAATACTGAGATCGTAATAGTCAAAATACTGTAGCATAAGAAAGATGTCAAAAGAGATATGTATATTGAAAAATATTTCAACACATTTACAAGTGAGTCACATTGAGAAGAATAGGAAGAGTCATGCGTGTGTACACATCACTGTATGCATACACGCACAGTGATTTTTTCAGAAACGTTGGACACTTGAAGAAGAGACACCGAATAATAGGGACTGTGTATAATTGAAATCAGATCAGGAACTATATATCCGCATACTTGTATAAGGAAATTATGAAATTTTTCGAGGACTTACTGAATACTATGCGCGATAGACGTCGTAGCGATTTTTACGAATCGAGCCAGATCTCCCCTGAAAATACCGCATTGAAAGAGCCTAATTGGTCAGTCATTGTTGTTTATGAAACATGATGCCATGATATCTTCGAGAATCATATCTCCGTCGTACAGGGCAATTATCGTTACATTATTATTAGATTATTGTAATGTTCTTTTTTTCACACGTGGCTGTGGCAAACACGTTAATGTATCAACGTTATTATATTCAAACAGTTGCTATCTTTGAAAAAGATATAAGTTGAAGTGTTGTGACAATATATAAGCTTGTAATGCGCATACAGAGTGACTCCAGTAACTACTTGCAAAAAATCTAACAGGAGAAATTGGCGCTTTTTATATCAGGGTATCATCCTATGACACAATATTCATTCTGCAGCATCAAAGTCTTCATACGTTATAATTTGCCATGTAAATTAATATTTCTGATCATTGTACAAATTGAAAAAAATAAACGGTGGTGTACGAGTCACGATTTTAAGACTGCGGACTCATTGTATTAATTATATCATTGAAAAACTTTATGTCAAATATGTATCAGACAGTTGTAGGTTTAAGGAGCTGGCTTTAACAAGTTGAAAACAAATGGCAAGATAGCAGATGAAATAAACAGTATTTTTTTAAAACTGAGTTTTTCTCCTTAACTTAATCGCAAATTTCTTCATAATTAATGTCTAAGAATTACATTCCAATAATATGAACGAATTAATTATAAATAAGTTATTCAAATTGTGTATGGTCTATAGTGACGTTTAGGCTACCCTGTTTGTACTGTGTATAATCATTAATTTAATGTAGGTAAAACCTTTGATAATTATATAAAATGATTGATAATTATATAAAACGATCTTAATGAATGTTTTGAATTCACAAAATAGGCTTCATATTCGATCTAGTATAATCTATAAATATGCAGTCCTACGTTTTGATAATCATGTTCACCTAATTTTACTATTGTCGACTTTTATAACAAATAAAGTACTTTTATAACAAATATATAATATTTCCATATACAAGTCGTACAAGAAAGTAGCATACGACAAAA